TGCATGTCACATGTGCATTCTCATGCAAGCACTTGTACACACATACTTACACACACACACACACACACACTCACACTGTCCTCTGTAGGCCTGGCTCCTGGTTCCCCTTTGCTCTACAGGGTCTGATCAGCTGACCTCCTCCCCACTGGCCCTGGACCCTCCTGTTTGTTTTGGCAACAAGCCCTCCTGACTCCCCCACCCTGGTATGGGAGGGCTGAGGTCAGTGTCCATACCTCAGAGATGGCATCTTTATAGTGAAATGCTAGGGGCCCTCAGGCAGGCTGGTGGGTGGAGGAGAGGGTTGCTGGGTTGCTTGCAGTGAGCCATAATTGTCAGTCAGGGCCTGTTTGAGCTGGAACAAAGGCTGGTGAGGAGGAGACTCGTGGGCACCTCCCTCCCCTTCCAAGTCTGGACAAACACCCATCACCTCAGGCCTCTGCTGCCCCAGTACATAGAGAAGGTAACTGACATCATGAGAGATCCACTGGGCATTTCTCCCTGGCTTGGCCACGTAGCAGAACAGGAGGTGGGGTCTGAGGGTGAGGCTTTCCTGTGTTCCCCCAGGCCATCTGCACTGGCCTGTTCCTGTGCGATTTTCCCTTTATTTCCATGGCATGGCTTTGCCCCAGATGGTCCTACTGACCCATCCTCCAAGGCTCCTTGTGATTAGAGCAACTTCATTTCCTTTCCTGCTTGACTTTCTGGAAGCCAAGAAAAAGCTACTCCCCCACCCATGGTCTCCTCCCTTTTCTTCTGGTTTGCCTGTGTGGGCGGGAACTCTTCACCCTGTGAGCCTAGGAGGCACCTCCTACTTCTCTCTAGGTTGCTCCTCATTGTTGTTCTAACAGTGGAGTTATTTGTTACAGTGGATGAGCCCATGTTGGTACATTAATAACAGCCAACACCCTCAGTTGGCGTTAGGGTTCCCGCCAGGCTGTCCTGAAGCCAATCCAGAGAATGGCTTCACCACCCTCAAAAAATGTGCTCTACCTGCCCATCCGCCTCCCTCCTGCAAACTTCCATCTTTTTACTGACTGTGGTTTTGCCTTTGCTGGAAGGTTCTACCTGGAATCATACAGCATAGCCTTTTGGACTGCCTTCTTTCACTTTGAAATATGAACATAGGGTTCCTTTGTGCCCATTCCGTGGCCCATTTCTTGTTATGGCCGAATAACATCCACTGTCTGGGTGGACATCACCCGGTGGCCATCCCTATGAATGGACATCTCGGTTGCTTCCAACTTGGGCAACTCAGAATTAAGCTGTTGTATCACTGGTGTCCATAAGTTTCTGGTTCATTTGGGTAGATACCTAGCCAAAAGCTGCTTTTAAAAATAGCATGTTCGGGCCCACGTTGGTGGCCCACGGGGTTAAGTCTCAGCACTGTCAAGCTATCAGCAGCCACCAGAACATGAGTTTGATCCCTGGCCCTGGAGGTGACCCACATGGGTCACCCTCTCCTGTGTCACCGGCTGCTCCTCTCAGTAGTGTGCTTCAGTTGGTCTACCTGATCTGTTCCCTACTCTGTCTCTGGTGACTCCTCTCAGCCCACCGTGCATCTGGCCCATACCCCAGCTCTTAGTATGCCTGAATAAATAAATCGTTAAAAAAATAAATATTGCACTTTAGAGCCTTTTCCCCAGAAAGAAGTTATTTTCCCCTTTCTTCTAGATAAGTCTCAAAGACAAAGAGGACCTGGGATGTCAGCTTTGGGCAGGGACTGCTCCCCGGGACAGAGGTAGACATCACTCACCTTTCCCTTAGCTAGTGGGGCTGCCTTCGGGCAGTTAGATTGGCCCATAGAATGTTTTTGAAAGCTCCCGACAAGGAAAGTTAAGGTTAACCACTCTGTAAACCAGGTTTCCTTGGAACACGTTTTCCCTACGCATTGGGGCGGGTTACTATGCGCTGCAGGGAGGGGGAGGGAATGACTTTGAACTGACTTTATTTTGCCTAATAATTACATTTTTATATTTCCTCCCCGGGCTTTATAACATTTTCCTGGTTTTAAAAGTTTTTTTTCTTTCCCTTCAGCATGTTCTCTCTCTCTCTTTTTAAATGTCTTCCATTTATATCCTTTTCAGTGTTGTGGTTGTTTTCTAAGCTTTTGTGATCCCAGAAATATCCAGCTTAGTTTTCTTATTCTTGGCCTTTACTTCCCTTCCCTCACCTCTATAAGCTGTTTTTCTCCATAGTGTTTGTTCTCAACCCAATTTTTCCTCTGCCACATTGGTACAGCTTCCATTCTTCCCAGGGAGAGGGGTTTATTTTTGCTGGAAACAGACAGTGGTCTTCCTTTAGACTTAAATAGTGCTGCTGCTTTATAATCAGTTTCATAGAATCGCTTTTATTTGCGCGTGCGCGCGCGTGTGTGTGTGTGTGTGTGTGTGTGTGTGTGTGTGTGTGTTGGGGGGGGTGTGTTGGGATTACCGTAAGTGCCAGAATACAGGGTCAGGCTGATGCATCCTAAGTATCTTCAGAAAAGAGAGCGTGCCTTGCAGAGCCTTTGTGTAGTTTCCTATTACAGAGGAGTATTTTATTTTCAACAGCAAAGTACAAACTGGAGAAGACCTGGTCACCTTGACTTGAGTCACTGAGAAAGGGAGGCATAGGTATTTTATGTGCCTTCATAATAACCTCGGGCGATGTGAACCTCACCATTGTGAGGGCTGTGGGGCCATCTACAAATGATAGATGGAGTGATTCATTTATAGAGATTTTTATAACTTACTACACATATTTTGTATAGTTTAAAAGGGGGTAAGCTCCCCGGTAAGGGCATCATGCACAGATTCAGAAAGTGCTTTATCTCAAACGCCCAGTCAGCTTCAACTATATTACTCCAGAAACACTGAGTTGTCAGACCTGCCCGCGATGAGTTTGGATGAAATTATCTCATGAAACAAAAATATTTCTAAAATTAGGTATATCACGATTCTAGCATGTCCTCTCAAGTATGATGGTGTGTCTTGCTAGGTGAGTAGTGTAAAATGGTTATTAGATAATCCCACTGCATTCCTTCAATGCATATATTTGTGTTTTCTGAGGGGCAGTAGCTTACCATTTTTCCAATGTGGGGATCGTCTTATATTTGGACACAAGTGATACTTGTCCGAGGCTGACATGGCTCTTCTGTACTCTCTATTGTTCGTTTTGAACCAAAGTGAACCATACAGTTCTCCCTCCTCTCGGTGGGTGCATTTGAACTGGGACACATCTCTGTTCCCAGAACCCCGCCGCACATTTCAGGGACATCCGCTTCTTATCACAGTGTCCTCCTGACGCTGCCACCACCTTCTAGGTGTGAGGTACATCGGACACCTTTCAAGCTCATCCTTTTGCCTACACTTGAGCCCTTAACTCATCCCACCTCGAAACGCCTTCTGTCCTCCATCGTCCCCGTGACAATGGGATCCCCATGCTGAGTGTCGATGTACCCCTCCAGCTTTTCTCCCCTTCATTTTGCGCCCTCTTCCTGGAAACTCTCCTGTCCTTGCAGGACTCAGCTTCTACCTGTACTGAGGTCGCAGTGGATAATCTAGGGGCTCTGGCTGGCCTCCACATTGACTCAGAAGTGGGTGTGCGCCTGTTGGTTTAAATGTGAATTTGTTGCCAACATTTAAAAATTGGGTTGAAATCCAGATTTCCAGCTTGTTGTGGAGAAAGGGCTCAGCTGGCGGCGCTAGGACAGAGCCGGGCCTCCCCGGAAGTGGGCCCCCACCTCCCATTACCACTGTCTTGCAACTGCTTCCGAAGGCTGCCGGCTCTCTGATGACGTAGTATCACCAATTCCCATTTTTGTTCATCATGATTGTACTATTCTACTTCATACAATAGAGATGAGATGGGGAAAATATTTCTTTTGCTCATGTGTCTGCTCAAGAGTGGGAAATACAAGCTGGACCAAGAATCCTGTGAGTTTAAACAATGGAAGAAAACACATATATGTGTGTGGAAGAGAAGAATATTTAACATATTTAATATCCAAAGTGGATTCGAGTAAACAAGCTGCCAGAACTCACTCAACCTAGATGGTGTAGACAACCAAATACATACTTCTGTCCACCTTCTTTTCCCCTCTGAAATCCCAAATGATGTCTTTGGTGATGTACATTCACTGTGATTTTCTGAGTACCCAGAACGTGCAAAGGCACTGGGGTATGGTGGTCACAAGGCAGGCCTGTTTCCTGCCCTGTGGGAGCTCACAGATTGGCCAGCACAGGGACCAGAGGCCCCTCCCACCTCCTGTGGCCACCCCAGCTTCTGTGATCAGAGCCACCAATCATCCGATCAGCAATCTTCATTCCGTGTGCACACTCGGTTCCCTGTGTCCTTGCTGAGTCCTGCAAGGACAGGAGAGTTTCCAGGAAGAGGGCGCAAAATGAAGGGGAGAAAAGCTGGAGGGGTACATCGACACTCAGCATGGGGACCCCATTGTCACGGGGATGATGGAGGACAGAAGGTGTTTCGAGGTGGGACCACCCAGACAGAGTATCCGGGATTAGGACCCCAGGGTCTATTGTAATGCTCACCTACTACCTCCTTGCTAAATAGATTAATTTAGTGCCACCTGCTAAGCAGTGGAGGACACTTGGAATCTATCCCCTACTCTGACCTCCCTTGCTCACCTTCACAGGGCCCGTGGGTGGCCACTTTGCATTCCTGCCCTCGCTGGCCATGCCTGTCTTCAGAGATCCGTTGAGTTCTCTCTCAGCCCTGGGTCCATTAACATCCCAAGTTTTAGCTTTGTTCCTACTTTTCCTGGAAACGTCTCATGATCAGGTCACTCATCCTCTCCTCTGAAATCCTTTGGCTGTTTTTTAGGCTGTGACAATTAATTCTCTCATGTTTTATAAATATTTACTTATTGATTGCATGAGTTTTGGCACAAGCTTTATGGGCTGGTTTAAGTTGGCTCTAAAATAGTTCCTTTTCTGAAGCAAAATGTTACTTTACCATTTCAAACGCCTGTCTGACATATATGGTTTTGTTTATTTCAGGGACTTGAAGATAGAAAATTTGCTTCTAGATGAAGACAATAATATCAAGCTGATTGGTATGACTCATATTTTTTTTTTTAAACCAAGCTTTCTTTTACATATTATCAAAACCCAGATATTTATTTCTGGGTTATTGGGTTTGGGACTTGTTCACGGTTTGAATCAAATCCCCGCTGGTACTTCTAGAGCATTTCCTTTTAACCTCCAATATTTAATACTGGTTTTGATCATGAAACTGCATTTTAGCAATCATTTAAACATAATTAGGAAAATGAAAATACCATAAAGTGTCCATAAAAGTTATTTCACAATCACGAATAAATATCCACTGACGGTGTGTTCTTTGGATGGCTTAAACTTCAGCTTCTCCCTAAAATCAGATGGAACGAGCTTTTTTAGGAGTTATTTTTCTTTGAATTCTTGAATTCCATAGCACGTCTTCAAAACAGTGGGAAATAGTTTGGCTTAGAGATGCTGTCTTTCACTTAGCTGTGTCTCCTCCCACTCGTTTTTTGTTAGTGCTTTTTTTCTTTAAAATACTTTATTTATTTTCTTACTCGTTGTTAGTTTGGACAGCATTTGACTCTTCCCCTCAGGTATAATCCCTGCAGGCCTCCCACCACCACAGCCCTTATGCTCGTCCTTCCCGTTTTGAACCTGTTTTGTTCTTTCTTTTCTCTGCTGCATGTGTCAGATCTATGATCAGCAAATTTTGTCTTTTCAGTGAATGTTGGGGTACCAAAAAAGGGAGGAATGTACTTCACCTTCTTACTTATCACATAAGCTTTATCTAAGTCCCATCAGACCTTGTGCAGAGAGAAATCCCCACAGAGGGGGACGGAGAGGTCTGGTCCACGGCAAAGGCTGTTTCAGGGTGGAGGAGGTCACCACTGCTTCACGATTCAGGGCCCACAGCGAATTTGCTTCCTGGCACAGGACTGTTGTTTGCCTACGAGGCTGCTTTTGGCACTAACCCAGGCATCACTTGTCCAGCCAGGTGCCCATGCCATTATCTTCTGTTTTCTTTTCCTACCTCAAGCACAAGTAAATTCTTCTGCCACAATGACTAGAGAAGACTTCACAGGGGAAAAGAGAAGCATCTGACTTCTCTACCCAAGGAGGAAATTTCATATGGCAAGTGCTGAAATCAAGCCTCTGACACACATCACTCAGATGAGCAGTTGGAATCAAGTCCTCTCCTCTCGCCTTAACTGACTCAGGGCTGCAGGTGCTTCAGCCTGATTAAGCCCCACTGACAGATTTGATGAATATGCCTATTATTAGAATATTAACTATGAAAGGAAACTAAGACTTTTAAAGAATGATTTTTCTTTTAAAGAAGAATCTTGGGCCATTCAAAGTGCTTTCTCTTCACCTTATTGTTTCATGATTGCATTTCAATTGTCCTGAGGGCCAAATAAGGAAGCTGTCACCGAGGCAGATGTTGACAGACCTGCAGGATGCCTTTTTGGTCTTAATTTCCGGGGCCTGTCGTGTTAGACACAGGAGGTTCTTGGGAGGAGGACGGTGGAGGAAAGATGACACTTAGGGCCCCTGCAGACTGACCTGTAACTTGCCTTCAGAGACTGTTGTGGTGACAGTGACAGCAGTGTCTCTAAGAGCCGCAGAGACGGCTGTAGGTTGCAGTCACAGAATAACTCACTTGCATAGTGCGTGGTGAGAACCTCTCCTCTGCCCTCTCCTCACAGCATAGCCCTAGCTGAACTTGTATGACGATGTTGAAAAGCACAGGCCTCTTCATTGATTAGGAGTTTGCTCAGAATATTCTAGACGAACTCATTTCTGTACATAGCAGAGTGGCTGCAGACTGACTGCATGGTAAAACTCTGTTGAAGAAATCCTTAAAATGAGAAGAAGGATGAAATCTCCAAATCAGAGTCCACAGTACCCCAGGGGTGAGTGGGGCTGTTGTTCCTTGGGTCCCCAGAACCATTTTCTTCAAACATGTCAGGGTACCACCTCTCCCCATGGTGACCCAAGCCAGCATTTTAGCTCATGGGGCAAAACAGGTCATTGCAGAAACCAGATTTAACAAAATGGCTGGAAAGGAGGCTCCGATGAGTGTGTTTCCCTTTGTTAGAACTTTCCATATGGCTCTCCCTTCTTTTTTAAGTTTTTTTTTTAAGATTTAATTATTTATGCATACAGAACTGGGATACAGGCCAGAGGTGCAGGGGAGGTCAGAGGATTCACTAGAGACAGAGTGGAGAGCAGAACAGGTAGGTGGACAAAGTACACTGCTGAGGGGAGCAGCGGGGAGACAGGAGGGGTCTGCTGCACCATGTGGGTCACCTCCGGGGCCAGGGATCAAACTCACACTCAAGCAGCTGAGACTAGTTTGCAGTGCTGCGTCCTAACCCCTTGCGCCACTGTGGAGGGCTGGGATGGTTTTTTATTAGCAGAATATGCATGCCCTCATTTTTCATGCAAGTTAGGCCAGAGGTGGGGAAGAGAAGGTGCTAAAAGGAAGGAGAGCCTGTGTTCGGTGGGTTTTCTTGTCTGTGGTTGGTGGGTTGGTTGGGCAGATTGAACCAAATGTCTCTTCAGCGTGTCTTTTTGCAACTTAAAAGCCCCAGAACATCTTCTTCCAAGGAGTCACCTAGTTGTCTTCCAGAGGTTCCTGAAAGTGGTTAGCCTTTCCTCTCAGCAATTTCTCTTGCCCAAAATCATTTGATTTGAATAAATTTCCTTAAGCCCTGGAAGCCATGTTTCAAATGAACTAAAATGAACCTGGAATAAGACTTTACTTAAGAAGATATTTCTTCTTCTTCTTCTTCTTCTTCTTCTTCTTCTTCTTCTTCAAAAAAGCCATCTGAGGTTATAAATCAGAGTCATCTTACTAGGGAAGATTCTTGACTCAGAACAGCCCTGTGCTCGGGTTTCCTGAAGCAGCTTGCACTGAGGTGTTTTCTGAGATTCATTCTGCAGCTCTTCGAAAATTGAGTGATAATTGGCTTCAATCTAATTGAGGCAGACCTGTGTGACATTACTGGGAGGCGAACTTCTCTCTAGTTTCACAATTCTAATTATAGGCATATGTGTAAAATTTTAATAATTATAATTTTGCATGGGAGCCAGACTGATGATTTCTCTACAATATATTTTAAATTAAACCCTCTTGGCTAGGTCAACACCAGGCATTTAAAATGCAGATTTTATCTCCTCCCCAAATCTTCTCCTGGTTTATCTTCTTAAAACTGTGCTTAAGACCTATAAGTCTCTGTGTTCCCAGCGCCTGGGACCCAGGGCTGGTGACCTGGTTTACCTCAGCCCGCCCTGCCCACCATGGGGACCCAGCCCCTGGAGTTTAGGGATCAAACAGGAGACCTGTTTATGTCATGCTGGGATCCTCCTGAGAAGGGGAGTCTTGTGCTATAACCTCAAACTCTAGAGCTACCTTTTCAGGGACTCCACGGAGCCTTGATTCTCTCATGGGACTTATTTGTAAAACTTTCTTTCAAATGTTACCTCAAATAATAACCTATTTCTCCATGGTGCTCCTTCCATCTGACCATAGTAGGTCTGATTATACGTTTGTTGTTTCATTAACAATCGCTAAAGCAAGATGATTTTTCTTCTAAAATATCCACCTCTCCCCCTCTCCATCTGCAAGGCAGAGAGTCTGAGCCCAGGGGCCTTTCTCCCTGAGGTTGGAATCTATCTCAGATTCTTGCCCTTCTTAGGCAGTTTGTGGGACCTCCTGGTGCTGACTAGGGCAATGGGAAGGAAAATGGGTTCAGGTGAGGGGAGAGGTTTAAGAGAAAAGAGGTCAAGAGAGACAGGGAAAGGGTAGGACAAAAAGCAAAATGCTAAACAAAGTGAACTGTAGGCACACTGTGTGTGCCACCCTGTGACTTCTGCTTCCTCCTCCCCAGGCTCAGACTCTGGGTGACCTTCAGGGCCTAGGAGTCTTTGGAGCCTTGCTTGGATGGGGTTCCAAATTGTAACACTCATCATCCAGCTTCACGCAACGACAGTCCAACAGGGAATTTTTAAGGGGGCAGCTAACGTGGGCCACGGCCGTGAAATCACTTCCTGGACTCATAACAGCCCTCCCCCCGGCCCATGGCTCTCCTTTCCTGAGCTCCCTTACCCATAAAAACCATGCACTTTTGCAGGTGGAAACATGTCAGAGTCAAGGAGAAAAGCCAGTAATGAAATTCGATAGGAATCCTGCCAAAGGTTTTACTGGAGAGAGACGGGGAGCCTGTTCCTGACGGCAATGCTCTCTCACCATGCCTGTGGGCCGAGAGTCTTCTGTTTGGGGAGGGGACCATAATATTTATATTGAAGTTCAAAGGAGGACCCAGGATCTTAATTCTGAGATCAACAAAGACTGAGGGAAGATATCAGATGAGGCCATAACACTAACAACTCTCTAATTACCTGTCAGTTACAGTATCTTAAAGATCAAAAGTAAACAGGGTACCAAAGGCATAATGGACCAAGGCTGGCTTTCCACGGCGGGCTCTTCTCTCCTTTTCCCGTTGCCTTAATCATCTGAGAACAAAGCATAGCTCTGAGGTCACTGAGTCTAGTCCTCAGTGCGATCTTTCTGGCCAACACGCAGATTGTCTCATTGGTAGGTGCGTTTTCACCCTCCTCTTCAAATCACTGTTACTGCATGCACTCGGGAAATTTTTCAGAGACTTGCATGTAATGAAAAAGTCAACTGTTAACTGGTGGGGTGAGATGGGATGTCAGCTGGGGTGACGCCGATGTCCCTTCCATCTGACCTCGGAAAGCCTGGCCACTGGCTCCGAGACCCTCTGCCCCTTCCCGCTTCCTGCCTCAGTCCTAGAAAGCAAAGCCTCTCTTTTTCCTGGATGACTCTTCCAAGATTTGATGAAAATGTTTTGGTTCAGCCTACTTTTAGCTCTGGCTGGATTTTACAGGGAGGTCGAACCGCAAATGTTTCCAGTTAAGCAAGGCATTGACCGCCCGACATTCCTTTGTCGTGAGACCCCATCCGAGGTTATGGCTTGCAGCTGTTGGCCTTCCTCTTGGATGCTGAATGAGGTGCTAGCTTGAGAAAATGTTTCTTTTCCTGCTTTAACAAAAAAAATTGCTCCTTCTTTGTGTCACGTTTTCTAATTCAGAGCCTGTTTTATCTTCCCTTCTCTGCAGACTTTGGTTTGAGTAACTGTGCGGGGATCCTTGGCCACTCCGACCCATTCAGCACACAGTGTGGGAGCCCTGCCTACGCTGCACCCGAACTCCTGGCCAGGAAGAAGTATGGCCCCAAAATCGATGTCTGGTCCATGTAAGTCCCAAGCGTACAAGGGAAAGTCCTCCCTGTTTTTCCTTCTGTTCTTCTTGACATTTGAGGGTCCGATGGGAAAGTGCCACCTGACAGGCTCGGTGTGTGTGTGCCGGCAGGGTCCACAGTTCTCCACTCTTTCCTTCTGGTCTTTTCTCCATTAACCTCCAGGAGACCTTTACCGTGCTTCATCTCAGCGCTGTACTCAGGCAGCTCGTGCTGTGCTTTCATGAGTCACTCACCTCTTTTCCTCACCGGAAGCCCTCACGTAGCCTTGCCTCAGCATCAGAGTAAACACAATTAGGGTGCTGGACCCTTGCTCTGGGGGCCTGAGCCACTGCCCAAACACCCCCCTCCCCACCACCACCTGTTGCCCCGCTTCAGAGTAAGTGGACACCGCTTCCTGGCCTGGCCTCTGGGCTGGGTGCTCCTATGTCCTTTCCTGGAGGGTCACTTCTCAGTCCCACTGGTGACCTGCCTACCCCACAGGCAGGCATCTACCACTGTCCCCACTGAAGAGACCCTCTGTGAGTCACCAGCCTCAGGGCCCACAGGCCTCTGCGGCCTCACCCTTGTCATTTCCTCTCCAGCACCCAGCACAGCCTGTCATTTTCTCGTTAATCTGTTTGTTGTCTGTCTCCCCATTGCTGCTGCGGGGGGTGGGGCGGGGTGAGGGCACTGGCCCACGTCTCCATTTGATCCCAGTGTCAAGCATGGCGTGGGCCACCAGGGACGGACTTAAGGCAGGTTTCAGGAGAAAGGAAAGGCAGGTGCTGCTGGGACCTAGTCAGCGGTTCCAGGTCTCCCAGTGAGAAGCCCTCCTCACCCTCCGTGAGCCAGACAGGGGGACCTGCAGGGCGGCAGCTCTTGGGTCAGGACCAGAGTCCTTGCTGAGGGGAAATGGGTCCTCAGAGAACAGACCTCGGGATCCTGACTGGGGTACAGAAACGAGAGATGAGGGGGCGAATCTGAGCCAACAACCATCCTCTCTGGCCAGCCTGTGTTTGCTGTAGGCATCATGCCATTCAATTTTTGTGGCAACCCCATGAAACCGTTATTCCTGACTATCCTCACACCGAAGAAAAAACTGGTCATGAGAAATGAATAAAATATCCCCAAGTCACAGAGCTACTATGTACCACTGGGGCTGAACCAGACAGTCTTCCAGGCTCTTGAGATAAAATACCCTTACTTTCATGTGCGCATATAGTTTTATTTATTTATCTGAAGAACTTTCTTTTGTGTTATTTGCTTTTTATGACCGGGCTGACATTGGTTTACTGCACTGTATATGATTCAGGGTCAGACCTCCATCTCTACACCAAAAATACCCATACGTGACTGTGTTCTTGAACACGTGGCTTGCCGAAAGCCATTCTCCCACTCCTCCGTCCACGCTTGCCCTGAGTCCACGCTAGGATGCAGGTGGATTCCTGCCCTCGCTTGCACTCCTCCCTGGAGCCGGGACTCTTGTGCCTCAGTGTACCCTTTCCCTCTGGTTGAAGTGGGTGCCGCTTCCCCTGGGCAGCGCTGCTGGCTCCCGTGTCCCCCTAACTTCAGTCTCTGCACTATGCTGCCCTGACCCTCGCCCCTGGGGTCTCGGCTCACTGCCTGAACCCCTGGACTGTCAACTGAGAAGGCAGATACCACCAGGCTGTGCCAGTGCTTCTTCCATACCTGTCAGGGGGCCCACAGGAGGGAGAAGAGAAGGACAGAGGTGGGAGGGAGGTGAGGAGACAAGGGAGGAAGGGAGTGTGATGAGGGAGGGATTTCATCCAGGTGAGCAGAAGCAGAGGGCTGAACTTGGCAGAGGAAGCACACAGAGGGGGCTCTGCAAGGCTCTGCAGGGAGAGAAATTTAGAACATTCTAGGTGGAGGGTCCAGAGATATCAGAGACTCTGTCTCCCTGGAACCTGCTGGGCTCGCTCAGCAGAGGGTGAAACAAGTTAGGCAGGAATCTACTTCCATAGCTGAGCGCTGGGCACGAATCATCCTCTGTGATCCCCAGGCCAGTCTGTAAGTCTCTTCCCACTTACACGCAGGGAGACTCAGAGGTTTGTGTGGCACGGAGACTCTAAGGGGTGGGGCGGGGGTGCATGCAGGGTGGCCCAGGATGCCTTTTCTTCAAGGTACCCGGATGTTTTGACCAGCATTACTCGTCTGACTGATTCAGAGGCCTCAGTATCCTTCTCAGCACACCCCTCAGGCAGCCACTACCGGGGAACGTGAGATGAGACCTGTCCTGGTCCCTCAGGGTTTCTCGAAAGTGTCTGGGCACGACAACATCCCTCAGTGCATGCTTACTGAATGGATGAATTTGATGACTTTCTTTCCTTAGCACTCAGAAAGTCATCTACGCTAAATGGGAAGCTGTGAAAGGGGCACTTTGTTTATCAGGAATAAAGGAAATGATGGTGAAGAGTGGCGAGCCCCAAAAATCAGGAGCTCCAGGGGTGTCATATGACTGTGTGGCAGTCTGCTCTCATGGGCCCTGCACAAGATGGTACTACAGCCCGTCGTCAAGGCTCGGCCTGCAGTGACAAGGCTCGGCCTGCAGTGGGAGACCCCTTTCAGTGCATGAGTGGTTAAGAAGGTGTCTCCCCAATGTCTGAGGGGCTGGTAGAAGGAGGGGAGCTTGTGGGTTGTTGGACCTGTAGGGGAGGGCCCAGGCCTCCACCCTGCCGGACCCCTGTGTCCCCCCGATGCTAACTCTGTCTTGGGCCCGCACTATTTATCTCGTGACACGTGGGCTGCTCATGTTTCTAAGCTCAGATTTTGCTCCGCCCTTTTGCTCTTGCCTTGGCCAAGGGGAGGATTCAGGTGTAGTGACCACAGATACTGGGGCCTCGTGAATCCAGTAAAGGGACCTGGCTCACGGCATCTACTCTGTCCCTACACATTGGGACAGAATCCGCAGCTCCCCCAGGAAGCTCTGTGGCACCGCAGGAGGGGGACAGAGGGACATTTCGGCGCATATCCAGTGACACCACTAGTGCGGGTGACAGCCAAGGTTTGACCTCACTCTCCACAGCTGCTTTGTTGTAATTTTTCTGGAAGGTTTACATTCTGTAGGGGTGGCCAGTATATTAAAAAACCGTAAAGTATGGTAACTGCTTTGGAGGAAGGAAGTGGGGTACAGGGAATGAGCTTGGGGATGGCCTCTTAGGGAATTGACCTCAAAATCAAATTCCGAGACAATTCACCTGTGGGGAGAGGAAGGCTGCAGGCAGAGGAGACCGTGTGTGCAGGCTGGAGGTGGGGGGGGGGGTGGCGGCGGCAGTGGGGAGCTGCATTTTACCCTAAGGGTCATGGGAGGCCACACGAAAGTTGTCAGCAGGGGGTGGTATTAAGATGTTAGGGTTGATTTGTGCCCCCCAAAAGCTGGAGTTCTAACCCCCAGCACCTTTCAGTGTGATTTCATTCGAAGAGTAGGAAGTTACAGGGGCAACAGAGTAGAACTGAGGGCATAAAATTCAACATGGTTCTCATGAAAGGGGGACGTTTGGCACGGCGAGACATGGAGACGCCACTCACTCAGAAGCCGGCTACCAGCCAGGGAACGCCGCCATGGCGACCGGCCACAGCGGCTGCAGGGCAGTGCGGGCAAGGTTCTCCCTCCCAGCCTCAGAAACCACCCCTGCTGACCCTGCGTCCTGGCCGCTGGGCCTCCAGACCTGCATGGTGCTACGTTTCTGCTGTTTAAGCTGTGCCGTCCAGGAAAGGTCCAAAGGAAATGGCGAAGGATCAAGTCACCACTGGAGATCCCGGGACCCACTCTCCTTCCATGGAAGCGTCTGCTGTTTCCTTTATCGAAGACACTGAACCAGATCAAGGGAATCTGTAGTCTTCCATCACCCAACAGGGGCGCAGGACCCATACAACAACCCCACAGAAATCGCCAATGGTCAGATCCTAAATTCAAGTTCTGCAGCATCGCTTTCGCCTACAGGCAGGGCGTGATGGACTGCATGAAAACCAGGGACAGAAAACTACAAAGGCCCACAGTGGTGAAGAATGTCCTGGAGACCACGGACTCGCGCCTGACGCCGTCATGATGTCTCTGCTGCACATCTGCTCATGTGTCTTTGGGCAAAGCAGGTCTCCTGGTCAAGTCCTAGTTATGAGAAATCAACTCCACCCCTTGATGGGGGCAGGGGACAGGAATTTGTGGCTTCTTCCTTGCACTCTTAGGATAAAATGATAGACTGGCTTGTGTTCATTGAAAATGTATATGGTGAAAAAGACACAAAAACACTGATTCAAAAAGATACCTGCACCCCCATGTTTACTGCTGCTTTATTTACAATTGGAAAAACATGGAAGCAGCCCAAATGCCCAAAAGTAGATGACCGGATTAAAAAGATGTGGTACGTATATACAATGGAATATTATTCAGCAACCAAAAAGAAGCCACACATGTCTTTTGCAGCAACTTGGATGGAGCTGGAAAAGATCATGCTTAGTGAGATAAGCCAGAAAGAAAAAGAAAAATGCCAGATGGTTTCACTCATAGCAGGAGCATAATGGACCAGGCAAGAAAATATAATGGACCAGGCAAGAAAATAATAAGAATAATGAACAGTCATATACCAGAGACATTTTGTGGGTGAAGAATGAGGAATGGGATCAAACGGGGGGCGGGGTGAGGGAAGTGCACTGGGCTACGGTGATGGCACACGGGTGACTCGGTGATGGGAAACCCATTCGGTGATGGGGATTACAACTGAGATAAAAAAAAACAAATGTACAAAATGATGTAAAAATAAATGTTATATTTAAAAAAAAGAAAATGTATACAGTGAAACCCTAACACCCAACGTGGTGGGTCTTCAGTGTGGAGTCTCATAATTGGATGTGTGTCCTCAGAAGAGAACTGCTTGATTATGAACAAGTGGAGACAGGGACCAGAAAAAAGCCTTCTCAGGGCCCGCCATGCTGGAGTGCAGATCTCAGACTTCCAGCTGCCAGAACTGGGAACAAATAACTGGCCACTGGTTAAGTTG